AATAAAGTATCCAGCAGCAAACCCAGGAGATCCTGCACCAGGGAAAGTTGTCTCAAAACCTCTAATGTGAGACAACTTGCAAGAAATGTTTAATTAGAAAAAGTATTTAAGAAGCCTTCAATTTTATGAAACTTTGACACAGTCAGTCACAGAATCAACTAGATTCTAGTTCTATCTTTTAAGAAACCTCTTATTTTAACTTTTAATTTTTTAATTTAAACAACTTCTAATTTGTAGAAATCCAATAATTTCTGAGTGTTGGGAGCAGCCCCCATTGCCCTCCCAGTGCTCACCTTCTGGGGTTCAGCGATGAGGTTCAGCTCCCCATACGTGGTGACGTCCACCCTGTTGAGGACCCTGCTGAGCTGCATCCCCTGGGGATTGAACTCCCCTGTCTGAGCCAGGAACGCAGAAGGGTCATTGTCATCATCACTGTCTGAGACCTGGACAGGAGACACAGCAGTGACACCACCCAGAGACATCCTGAGGAGCCTCTCCAGGGTGGCAATTCCTGCCCACAGTCCCCACAGAACAGGATCTTATTCAGCCACTCTAAGGGTGAATCTGGAGAGAAGAATATCAAAAACCTGTCCTACGTTCTGGGAGTGTCCAAGGCCAGGATGGACAGGGCTTGGAGCAACCTGGGATAGTGGAAGGTGTCCCTGCCCCTGGCATGGGGTGGCACTGGATGAGCTTTAAGGTCCCTTCCAACCCAAACCATTCCATGTTCTTGCCCATCTCTGGCAGCTCCAGCTCCATCCCATCAGCAGCGCTGGGGGTCTCAGACCCTCAACAGCACCACCCCAGAGGCAGCTCAAATAATTGGGTTTAAACTGTTGGTTTAAACTGACAGGAAGTGAGTTGAGATGGGATATTGGAAAGGGATTCTTCCCTGGGAGGGGCTGGGATGGAATTCCCAGAGCAGCTGTGGCTGCCCATCCCTGGCAGTGTCCAAGGCCAGGTTGGAGCAACTGGTGTAGAGGAAGGTGCCCCTGCCCATGGCAGGGGGTGGAACTGGATGGGCTTTAGGGTCTCTTCCCACCCAAACCATTCTCGGATTCCATAATACATGGAGAAAAAAGAAGATGAGGGCTCTGCTGCCAGAGTGGAACCAGCCAGGACATATGACAACCACCACCTGGCAGAAAGCTGAAGCTTTAAGAGAAATCAACTTCTAATGGACCTCGGAAGGGCTGGGAGGAAAACTCCCTGTGCAGAGCTCAGTGCAGAGGTGAGACATGAAATTTATTCCCACTTCAGGGCCTGGAAGAACCTGGAATGGGGTTTCTGCAGCAGGTGCAAACTCTAAAGGCAGAGTTCAGGTGATGTCATTGAGGGGACAGGATGGGCACAGAGACTCTGCAGCTCCACTTAATTTTCACTAGTAATTAATTCTAGACATGGATTAACCCTAAATCATTCCTATCATGTATCAAACAGAAAAAAAAGATCTTCTTGCTCCTTACCTGCAGGGCAGGGCAGAAGTTGGAGGTGTCATTGGGGTTGTTGTAGTCATAGTCCCCAATCTCAGCTTCGTTCTCCAATGTGGTGACTGGCTCCAACGTCCTGTTGAGCTACAGGGACAGACCAGGGAAGGAAAAATACGAAATATTTCCCCAAGCAATGCCTGTGTCATGTTCTTTCATCCCCTTCTAGCTCTTCCTCCTCCTCACACACCTCCAACAACCCCCTACAACAGCCTCGGCATCCACAGTGGGTCAGCTCCGTGACACACATTGGCCCATCCCCAACCCTGAGGAGCATTCCAAAAGACTCCTAGGATTTCAAGAATTTTGGAGGTTTTGAGCCTGGAGTTATTGCTGAGAGGATTTTAGTGAAGGCTCTTACCTTAACAAGTGGTTTGAGGAACAGCTGGGGGAAGTTCTCAGGGTTATAGTTGAAGTCTTCAGGGAGCGTGGTGCTCCTCACATTCTCTTTTTCCAGGATGGATTTGGCCAGAGTTACAGATGCCTGGGAAAGGGGTGGAAAATGCCATCAGCCAGGAGCTTTTCACACACAAATAAGTGCTTTGAACACAGGTCTTTGTCTAAAAGGGGGCAAGGTCTGGGATGCCTCCAAGGAGGAATTCCACAATGGGTTCAGCTGATGCATCCAGCAGCTTCCATTCCGCACCCTGGACACCTAGGTGGACCTGAGAGGGTGTAAACCAGGAAGAATCCAGCAAAATGGAGAGCAGGAAGAGGCAGGAACTCAGCAGGTACCTTGGTCTTATGGAAATAGGCCTCAAAGTCAACATTCTCATCAAAGTTCAGCTCAAACACTTCCTTCACATTCCTTTTCCTGGTCTCCTTTTCAGAGTTGGCATTGGCTGCAGAAAGGAAGGGAAGTGTCAGTGCTTGGTGAAAGAGCCAGGACAAGCAGCTCACTCCCAACCTGAGCATCTGCTCCACACACATCCACCTACAAGGATGGATCCCACCCTTTGTTTTGTGAAAGCAACGTGTTGTTCTCAGATTCATGTTTTACAGGGATCACCATCTTTTTATGGAAGCAGAAAGTCTAATTTAGTTTTAATGGCCTTAAGCGGAAGGAGGGTGGATTTAGATGGGATATGGGGAGGGAATTCCTCCCTGTGAGGGGCTGGGATGGAATTCCTAGAGCAGCTGTGGCTGCCCCATCTCTGGAAGTGTCCAAAGCCAGGTTGGATGGGGTTTGGAGCAACCTGGTCTGGTGGAAGGTGTCCCTGCCCATGGAACTGGATAGGCTTTGAGCTCCCTTCCCACCCAACTTATTCCATGATTCCCTGATCTCCAGGGTGAGCAGGACCTGGCAGCAGCTGCTGTCCCCAAATACCTACCTGTGTGGCGGGGTTTGAAGCGCCAGTGCTGGGGGCCAGCCCACATGGACAGAGTGCGGGGACTGAAGTAGGAATATTCCCCTGGATTCACAGAGAGCTGATGGCACATGGTCTCAACGTCTCCCTCTCCAAAACGAGCTCCATCAGTCCTGGAAAGAGCACATGTGCACTCAGTGAAACCATTCCTTTGGCACTCCTGAGGGCATTGAATACCCAGGGCAGCTCTGGGCAGACATTCCCATTCCCTGTGCCAGCAGGGCAGGACTCCTGGTCTTTAAACAGAGCTGGAGGTGTTGCAATGTCTTAAATCTGAGAGGCTGCTGCAAAAAAAGAGTTAGATTTGCCAAAGATCCCCTTGGAAGGCAGAGATATTCCCATAACGTAAATTCCTGAATTTACCCAGAACTGGAGGAGGAAGCGGGGAACAAAAGGTTCCCCAGAGAGCTGCCAAAAGTTGTGAGTTGCCATCAAAGCAAAGCTATGGATTTTCAGTGAGCACTCACTTCTTGCTCTGGTTCTGGATGATTGTTCCAGAGGAGCTGACGTTATCTGTGAATTCCCCAAGCTTCGTTGCTGCTCTGCTCCCAGGGAAATCCGAGTGGAAGTCATCCTCTGGCAGGGGGGGAGCACCGCCCTCCCCATCACTCTCCACCTCTGCGTAGGGGTCAAACACATGCTCACTCTTCTTAAATTTATCCAGCAGGGTCAACACTGACTGAGAGAAGAAGGAACTCAGGAAGCTATTTGAAGCTGAGGTAGCTTCAGCTTAATGGCCTTGAGCTGAAGGAAGGTGGATTTAGACAGGATATTGCGAAGGGATTCTTCCCTGGGAAAGTGATGAGGAGCAGGGATGGAATTCCCAGAGAAGTTGTGGCTGCCCCATCCCTGGAAGCGTCCAAGGCCAGGTTGGACAGGGGTGGAGCAACCTAGGCGAGTGAAAGTTGTCCCTGCCCATGGCAGGGGTTAGGACTGGATGGGCTTTAAGGTCCCTTCCAACTCAAACCGGTCTGGGATTCTATGATTCCATGAAAAAGCAGGATATCAGCGGCCCTGCAGCACAACCTCCCCCTGTGTATCTCAGAGCTGAGAATTCAGGTATCCCACCTGGCCCAGTTATCCCACCCAGCACAGAGCCATCCAACCTACCTCCTCGTGGGACTCCTCATCCCACTTTGTGAACTGGAAACCAGCCAGAGAAGAGCAGATGAGACGTTTCTCAACACACTTAGCCAGCAGGGCTGGAGACAGGGAGGGTAATGGGGAGGGATTAGGCTCAGGATCCAAAACCAGCAGCTAAAACTAGTGCCAGGCATGATTTCTTAATTAATTAATCTTAAAGTCACATATGTGGGCAGCTCTTCGTCTATGCAAAGCTCATTTATAAGGGAAATTTCAGTTCCCGTCCTAATTCCAGGGTGGGCATAACTCTGGGAATCTTGTCAGAGCAGCAGGGGCTGGTCCTATATCCAGGCTCAACACACTCTGAAAAGGTCAGTCCTTAACCTGGAGCACTAAGTCCAAGTCCTGCAAAACTCAGACCAACATCTGATGTGCTAGATGTGCCAGAGGTTGGGTGACAGGTCAAGATCTAAAACCTACAAAGGTCCTGGTTTTCCAGCAGCTGCTCCTAACTGGGCCAGGATCAGAGCACTGGTGTCCCAGGACAGCCAAGCAGTGACTAAAGCACAGCTCATGGCCCCTAAGACTAAAATGAGCTCACCTGGGAGATAAAAGGCATGAGAAGGTCTGGATGGGCCCAACACTCACACTTTAAATCCATCATTTCCACAGGATCTGAGTTTGGCAGTGAGAGAGTCTCCGAGGAAGGGAGAGGGACAATCCTGGACTCAAACTGGAGCTCGCAGTGGAAGTCCTGGGAGCGCAGACGGGTGAGGAAAATCCCAGCAGTGCTGCGCTCATCAAAGGATCCTGCTTCTTTCTGGAACATGGGATCCACCTGCAGGTGTGGAGGGAAGTGGAGAATGGCCCCAAACATCTCCTCCCCATCCCTGGAAGTGTCCAAGGTCAGGTAGGACAGGGTTTGGAGCAACCTGGGATAGTGAAAGGTGTCCCTACCCATGGCAGGGGGTGGAATTGGTTGATCTTTAAGATCCTTTCCCACCCAAACCATCCCGTAATTCATGATCTTTTTCAGTAAGGAAAGAGCCCTCCCAGCTCCCTTTCAGACCTGACTGGACACAACTCTGCTGTACCAGCACAATCCAGACATGTACGTGACTGTCAGAGCCCAAGAGAGGAATGAACAAGAAGGAAAGCAGAGATGAGGAAGATGAGGTGACACCCTCGTTCCTCTCCCATGCAGCTGCTCTAGCAGCCTCCCCCAAAAACCCACCCGATGTCTGTGATTGGCCTCTGACACGTTGATGTTGCTCAAGTTCTGCTCGATGGTTTTGAATGCCTGTTTTTTCTTTGGCTGAACTTTCTTGATGGCCTCAGGAGCTGAACTGTCTTCTGAAAGAAGAACAGATGACACTTAAAAGACATGCTAAAATACCCCAAGGAGGGATAGAACAACTTTGAGTTCAATTTGTACAACAAACACACAATGAAGTTGCTCAGTCAGCGATTTATTAGCATGAATCACCAATGTTTCACTGCCTGGATGCTGCTTTGCTTTTTATTGACTCTATTTGGTCACAAATCACCTCTATTTGGCCACAGATTGACTTTTTTTTTTTATTAGGCACATTTATTTCAAAGCAAAGGACAGCAAAGCATGAGGCCCTTCGTTGTTACTGGTTCATATCAGACCAGCTGTGGTTCGTGTCCAAATCTAAATCCATGGACTAAATCACTGAATTCAGGAATGAGCAACAGATTCAGATTTTCATCCCAACCCTCCCTAAACAAACACCCAGGAAAACCAATTTGGGACCTCCCAGATCTTGAAAAATTAATTCCAAAGCACTTAAAAATTCCCTGAGCTCTGAGGTTCCTTTTGTTCACAGGTGGAAAAAGAGCAGTTTAACAGGAAAATGAGGGAATTGCCCACCTTCCCCTGGGCTGTCCAGGCCCTTGGCAGGTGCTGAGTCCTTGCCTAAGCCCCCAAGGACTTTGTAGGTGTCTGCATGGACTGTGTCCACACGCACAGAGTAGATCTTGGCGCAGGCATCCAACGTTCCAGCTGCAACCTGACAGCAGGGACAGGGAATTCTCAGTTGGAAAGGGAAAAGTCTCATCTAGAAGATACAAGGCTGAGCTCCTGAATGCTCTGCATCACAAGAAAAACTGTGAACAGCTGGAAAAGGATTTATTCTAAAAGCTAATGGTCCCCCAGCAGGAGCCAGGGTGTGTTTTCCCCATAGTTTGCTCCATCTTTTGGGATCACACAAAAAATGCTTAAAAAGTTGCCAAGATTAAGCAACAGGGAGAAGCAAAGCTCTGTCCTCCATTTCCCCTTCGTGCCTTCTTTAGGGTCACCCCACTGGTATCGTTCTATTTTCCCAGATTATGAACGCCAGAGATGAAGAAACAGGAGATGCCAAGTTCCTTTTTTGATAACAGACTCCCCCCTGGAAGGTGGAAAATCCCCCAGTAAAATCATGTGCCCCCTTTCCCACCCTTTCCTCATCCCATCAACCGCAACCAGCTCGTTCAGGGGTTCCTTGAGGCCACGTCAAAAGTTCAGCCATTCATTCCTTCATCCAAGAACCCAGTTTTCCCTCACAGCATTAGTCAACTATTAAAATTTGTCTTTTCCTTGGCAAGTTCTTATTCTGATCTGTTCCTGGATCAAGATCAGACCAGTACTAACTTCCTTTCTTTTCCAGCCTTGTTTTTTTCCTGGTTTAAACACTCATTATTAACAAATCTTACTTTTAAGCAAGAGATTTCCTTTAGAAGGACCATAACTGAGAAAATTTAGACATTAATTTCTGTGTTACAAAAGGATTATTCACAGCCTTAAACTCCTGCAACAAGTGAACGTGCTGCCTCTCCCAGGTATTTTTGGTGGCTCAGCTATCTGAACATTATTTGAGGGTTGATATTAACTGGGTTAAATCCAGATGGAAATAAACTCCTCTCACCTTGAAGCTAGTGAACTCAGAGTTCTGCTTCAGGATCTTGGGCATGTAGTCGATGAGATGTAAATCAAAGGCGTTTCTCGGGGTGATTTTCTGGAACAAAGCACAGCTTGGGACCAATTCCCAGGCCAAGGACACCCCTCACCCTGCCTGGACCCCCAGCTCGGGGGGAAGATTTAGGGCAGGGCCGAGGGGATATGGTCTGTAAGGTGTGTTAGTGATGAGAGGGCACCAAGAAGCCCATGGTTGGCCCAGGGAAGAGGAATAGGAGGAGAGTGGAGAGACAGGCAGAGAAGAACCTTCTGAAATTCAACAGGGCAAATGCAGGTCCTGCACCCGGGGAGGAACAACTCCAGGCACCAAAAGGGGCTGGGGGAGCCCTGAGGGTCCTGGTGGACAACCAGCTGTCCCTGACCAGCAGTGAGCCCTGGGGACAAGGAGGCCATTGGGATCCTGGGATGCATCAGGAAAGGCATTGCCAGAGGGTCAGGGGAGGGATCCTGCCCCTCTGCTCAGCCCTGTGAGGCACAGCTGGAGTGCTGTGACCAGCTCTGGGCTCCTCAGGACAGGAGGGACATGGAGCTCCTGGAGCCACAGAGATGATGAGGGGACTGGAGCTTCTCTGTGACCAGGAAAGGCTGAGGGAGCTGGGGCTGTTCAGCCTCCAGAGGAGACACTGAGAGGGGACCTCCCCAGTGTCTGCCAGTGTCTGTAGGGAGGGGGCAGAGGATGGACCAGGCTCTGCTCGGGGGCGCTCAGCAATGGCACAAGAGGAATGGGCAGGAACTGATGCCCAGAAAGTTCCACCTGAACATGAGGAAGAACTTCTTTGCTCTGCAGTGACGAAGCACTGATTTGTAGACCCACAGAACCAAAGAATATCCTGAGCTGGGAGGGACCCTCAGGGATCATCAAGTCCCACTCCTGGCCCTGCACAGACACATCAACAATCCCACCATGTTGTCCAAGCACTCCCTGAGCTCTGGCAGCCCTGGGGCTGTGACCAAACCCTGGGGAGCCTGTTCCAGAGCTCCACTGAGCAGGGAGGGTGTGGAGTCTCCCTCACTGGGGATATTGCAGAACCCCCTGGACACAACCCTGTTCCATATGCTCTGGGATGGCCCTACTGGAGCAGGGAAGTGGAACCAGTGCCCCACTGTTGTCCCTTCAACCTGACCCACCCATACTGTGATCCTGTGACTTGTGTCTTTCTAGGATGAACAGTTAATAAGGCACTGTAATTTGAGGTATTCCAGAACCATGTGGATGCAATCCTGTTCTTTGTGGATGATCCTGCTTGAGCAGGAAGGCTGGACCCACTGTGGTCCCTTCCAACCTTAGACATTCCATATTTCTGTGGTTCTATGACTTGTGTCTTTCTAGGACAAACTGTTAATATGTCACTGTAATTTGAGATATTCCAGAACCACCCGGACACAACTCTGTTCCATGTGCTCTGGGAAGGCCCTGCTGGAGCAGCAAGGTTGGACCCACTGACCCATCCTCTGATTTTGTGAATAACCATGCAAGGCTCAAGGCTTTTAAATCTCCCTCCAACCTCACAGCCAGGGGGTTTTAACCTCCAGGATGAGTATTTAAGGACCGGTTCCGATGCCCCAGGACTCACGTTTTCCGTGGAGAGGCGGATGCAGGTGTTGTAGTGCTCTGAGATCTGCGCATTGCTCCACTGCGGGAGCTGCCAGCCCTCCTGCCTGCAGGACATATAGAGGGGTCACGGGGCTCAGAATCACAGAATCACTGAGGTTGGAAAAAGTCTCTGAGATCTTCAAGTCCAACCTGTGACCCAATACCACCTTGTCACCCAGACCATGGCACCGAGTGCCACATCCAATCTCTTCGTAAACACCTCCAGGGACGGCGACTCCACCACCTCCCTGGGCAGCCCATTCCAATGTCTGATCACTCTCTCTATAAAGAATTTCTTCCTAATGTCCAACCTAAACCTGCCCTGGCGCAGCTTGAGACTGTGCCCTTGGTCCTGGAAGAAGACCCCGCCCCCCTCGCTGATCCACCCTCCCGTCAGGCAGCACCAGCCGTACCTGGGCGCGGGGGAGCCCAGAGCCAGCGAGGAGTCGGCGGCCCTGGAGCGCCGGCGCTGCCGCCGCTCGCGCTCATCGTCGTTGCCGGGGCACTCGGCCAGCACGGGGGTGCCGGCGTTGCCCAGGGCCCGTGGGGCCGGTGAGGCTGCGGCGGCGCCGCGCAGAGTGCGGGCGCTCATCGCTCTCAGAGCGGGGTCGGAGCGGGTCGGAATCGGGGATCGAGCCAAGGATCGAAGCCCGGTCCCAGCGGGAGCGAACCGCGACTCCACCGGGAGCGAACCGCGACTCCACCGGGATCAAAAGCGGCACCGGCTCCGCCCACCGCCGTGGCCACGCCCACCCCAGCGCGCGGGCGCCCGCCAAGAGCCAATCTGCGCGCGGCCCGCCCCGCCCCGCCCGCCAATCAGCGCGTGGTCCGCCCCGCGCTTTGAACGGCGGCGCGCGCCGCGCGTGCGATAACGGTCGGCGATGGGGAGGCTGGGGGGGAAGGATGCGCTCCGAGGGACCCCTTGGGTGGGACCTCCAGGTAGGATCACTCTGATTTCCTGGTCCTGGGTTGGGGTATGAGGGTTGTCACCCAACGCCGGTGGTGCCCCGGCACCGCCCGCACCGGCAAAAGGTCGCCTAGGAGGAGGAGGAGGAGGAAGAGCTGCTCCGTTTATCACAGAATCCCGAATTTCTGAGTTTGGAAAAGAGCTCTAGGATCATCGAGTCCAATCTGTGACCAATCCCCACCTTGTCACCCAGGGCAGAGCACTGAGTGCCACCTCCAGTCGTTCCCTGGACACCTCCAGGGATGGGGACTCTACCACCCTCCTGGGCAGCCCCTTCCAATGCCTGGCTACCCTTTCCAAGAAGAAATTCCTCCTCATGTCCATCCCATGAAGCCATCTCATGCGTTCAGGGAGGCTGGGACACTGGCGCAGGTTGCCCAGAGAAGCTGTGGCTGCCCCTGGACCCCTGGCAGCATCCAAGGCCAGGCTGGACAGGGCTTGCAGCAACCTGAGGTAGAGGAAGGTATCCCTGCCCATGGCAGGGGGATGGGCTCCCAAGATCCCTTCCAACACAAACCATTCCATGATTCCATGACTCTGGGGAGCCCCATGGCACCAGAATACAGCAGGACATAGCTCCCAACTCACTCTGGCACTCAGGGGAATAACTTGAGAGGGAAATGCCACATAAAGGGGCCTCAGCAGTGACAAGGACCATGGTGACATCACACACCCCCCCCCAACGTTTATTCCAAGACACCAGTTCCAGCTCTAGGGAGAAGCCACAAAATTCCATCCTGATCAGGTAAAAATGAAGCAAAACACCAAGAAAACTCTCCTTCCACACCACAACCCCCCACTGGGCACTTGGAAATCAGCTCCCACTGCCCCCAGTCACTTGAAAAACCATCAGCCATGGGTGTCCTCCCCTGGCCCAGGTACTACTGAGACCCCCACGGGGATCTGTCCTGGGTGGGATTGTCCTGGAAAACCATGGGGCTGGGCTTGGATCCCCTGGGTCCTGGCGAAGAGGGGGCTGCCATCTTCATATTCCCAGAACCAGAATCCCCCTCGATTCAGCATTTCCTGGGTCTCTCTGGAGACCATTGGGTGTCCAGGTGAGGGACCCTCCAGAGAAATCCCTGACCAAAACAGTCACTGAGGTAGGAACAACCCCAACTCCCTGCAGGCAGCAGGAGCTCTGGCTCAGGAATCACCTCCAGAGGCTTAGGGATCAATTCCAGAACCTTGAGAATCCCCCCCTGGAGGGTTCCAGGATGCAGCAAGTCCCAGAGCCAGGATACGACATGCAGGAGGCAGTGGGAATGGGGCAGGAGATGTGGGGAGGAGGTTGCAGCCACGCAGTTTCCCAACTCATCCTGCTGGGAAAAATGCTGGAGAACCACCAGCATCTGGCTCCAAACACCAAAACTCAGCACCCAGAGGGGCAGGTGAGGGGTTCCAACAAGGCAAAGCAGGCTGGTCTCCACGTGGGAAGCAGCCAGAGTGGGATGAAGAACTTGGAAAGTCTCTCCTCGCACTAACATCGCTTGGGATGAGGGGCTCCAGCAGGAATCCAGTGAGGATTGACATGCTCCCATGGCTCCTGGGGTGTAACAGCCCCTGTTCTGGGGCTCCCTGAACCCCCCCCTTCTGAAGCCATTCCCAGCAAAGCCCCCTCAGGACTCAGCTCCCCCTCCATGACACATCCACTCCCACTGGGATCCACGCAGCAGCTCTGGAGCCTTCAGGGAACAGTGGCTGCTCCCGCTGGGATTTTGGGGTCCCCACCACGAGGGTCTGTCTATCAGGCCAGTCTGGGAGGGGTGGGAGTCGGGATGTGGCTGGCAAAGCCCAGGAATAGGCCACCCCGGGGGTCTCCCAGGTCAATAGAAATGTTTCCGGCTCTGCTCCTGCCACTTGTTGTAGACAATGATGCCGATGACGATGGCAAAGACAAGGGCGACCAGCGAGAAGAACACAATGAGGAACAGGGCCAGGCCACTCATGGGCTCCAGAGGTGCTTCCACTGGGAGAGGAGGGAGGGAAAATCCTATGAGACTTCAGAGAACTCCAAAACCATCTCACACCCCTAGGGATTCAGCTCCCAAAGCTTTTGGGCCCTGAGACCCTGGGGCAATCCAGGAACTCATGGTGCAATTTCAGGATGGGACATGACCCACATCCCTCCCACCCCAGACTGGTGGATGGGCCCTCACGGTGGGGACCCCCAAAATCAAAGTTCCTTTTTCCTCCCCAGCTCCAAGTGCCCCCAAATCCCTCCTCGTCCCACCTTCCCCACAGTGAAGGCAGAGGTTGCCACTCACTTCCAGGCAGTTTCAGGTTGTCCACAACAGGCAGGAACACCTCCCTGTCCCGCTTTTCCTCCTCGGGCGTTCGCTCCACCGTGAGCTGGTACACCTTCAGTGAGATGATGTCATGATTGTCTGGAAAGAGAGGGAAAACTGAGGTGCCCTGAGGGGTCACCCATTCCCAAAGCTCTGGCCAGGGGCTGGAATGCCATGGAAAACTCCATGGGATGTTATCCTTGGAGCAAAGGTGCTGGTCCTCCCTTCCCAAGGGGACCCACTGCCAGTAGGAAGCTTTGAAGCAACTTTTAAAAACTAAAAACCAGCCTAAAATGAGAATTAAAACCACTTGGGAATCCAAAGGAATGTGTCAGCAGGTAGGAATGCTTCATTCCTGGGTACCAGGCAGGGATCTCAGAGGGAAAAAGAATTTTGTTGGAGCCAACAATGGGTCCAGGAATGAGCTTTTGTGGGGTAGAACTCAAATCCAGGCTTAAAACCTCCAGAAGAGGGACAGGGGCTGGGTCAGACTTGGGGCACCCTGAGGAGGGATTGGTGAGGAAAGCAAAGGGTTTAATGCTCCATAAAACCATTCCCAGGTGGGTGATTGCTGGGAAATCCAAAGGAAAACACTCTCAGGATGGAGCCAGGGAGCAGAGGCAGCAGGCTGGGACACCTGAGGCACCCAGGGCATTGCCAGTGTCAGCAGCTCCTGCTCTTAGGATAACCAAGCACCAGGGCTGGGTTTTATTCCAGGCTTAGTGCTTGGTTTGGCACCAGGAGGAGGTTTTATTCCATCTTCATCCTGGCTTTACTCATCCCAAGGTGGGAGCAGACAGGGATCTACAGGCAGTTCAAGGGCAGTGGGAAGTGCTGCCTGGACAAAGCCTTGAGGGCCCCTCAGGGGTCACTGCAAGATCCAAACCAACGCTCCCACTCCTAGCTCGGGGGTCCTCAAAGGGAAAGCTCCCCAAAGCAGGGAAAGCTCCCCAAAGCAGGGAAAGCTCCCCAAAGCAGGGAAAGGCCCTCAAATGCTTCCATAATGCCCTGCAGCTCCCCAGATCTGCCGTAGCCTTTAGGGAATCCCTCCTGGATCCCCCTGGCAGTACCTGATAGGTCCCCGGTGACCGAGGACGTCCCAAAGTAGTACCCTCGGGGCAGGTGCACACCCGGCACGTCGATGCAGTCCCTCCACTCGTGCTTCCCATCGATGTCAATCAATACCTGTGGGACAAACACCTCCTTGAGACCCATGGGGAGCCCCCGGGGTGCCCCCCCGGGGTGGGTGATGCCTTAAAATCTATATCCTATAAGTTTTGTAGTGTAGTTTGTTGGTGCCTTTGTACAAGAATTTTATTACATACCATATGCAATATATAGAATATTAATGTAGTGATCTAATTAATATAAATTATATTAATATAAATTAAATTTTTATCATAACTGTGTAATAAAAGGAAATGTTACCTTCTAAAACTCACAAGTTGAGTTCTGGGGGGTTTGTTTAAGGGCTGTTTTTAGGCATCATGGGCAGCACTCACCGTGAGCCTCCTCTTGACGTAGCGGATGACCAGGAAGGTGTCGTGGGGCAGGTTCCTCACCATGGCCGTGCAGCCCCCCAGTTCCGTGGGGCGTCCGTCCCGGTCGTGGTCATAGGTGAGGGAGCCATTGTTCACCATGGCTGAGATGTAGGGGAACACCCGCTGCCAGGGGGACAGCGGGTGAGTTTGGTGTCTGACAAGGGAGTCTGGACCCTGGAGCATCTCCAAAGGCAAGGGTCGCAGCAGCCCCCTGGACCTGAACTTGTTCAACCCCAAGGATCTGCTCCACAAGACATCAAGACTATGCTGCTCCATCCCTGACCCCGAACTCCACCCCAACCATCTGCCTCAACATGATCCCACTCCACCCTGACCCCAAATTCCTTCACTCCCCAAGAATCTGCCTCAACAATCACCAGCATGGTCCTGCTCCATCCCCGACCCCGAACTCCACCCCAACCAAATTCCTTCATCCCAAATAACCTTCTCCACACAACACCATCACAACCCTGCTCCATCCCTAACCCCAAACTCCTCCATCCCAAATAATCTGCTCAACAAGACACCAACATGACCCTGCTCCATCCCTAGCTCCAAACTCCTTCACTTCCAAAAATTCTGCTCCACAAGACACCACCACAACCCCTCCCCACGCCCGAAGCTCAGCCTCAGCTCCCAGAGATCCTGAACAGAGCACACATTCCATGCAGTCCCTCCCTGCTCCCACAGGGATTCCTGGAGCCCTTGGGAAGGAATTCCTTGCCAGGGAACCCTGAGAGGTGGGACAGCAGGAGCCAGTACCTGGTTTCCCGGGCTGTACCTCCTCTTCTGAGCCTGCCCTCCGGAATGAGCGCAAAGCAAGAGAGAGCACAGAGCAACACGGTCACAGGGCAGAGTCCACCAGGGCCCTACATGCCGGGAAACCTCCTCCTGGAGCACCTCCTGCCTTCCCATGA